TCAATACAGAAGAACAAACTGAACATAACACTGTCACAGAAAGGATTTTGAATCAACTCCCTGCTTGACAAGAGGGAAACTGAGTCCCAGAGTAGACGTGCACTGGTGGGGACAAAGTTGTGCACAGGGTCACCTTTCAGTCTGTCTCCAGGTACTTTCAACTGATTCCAGGTCCAGTTACCAGGTAACAGTTCTAAATCATTCCACCTGATTCTTGGCCTGGTGGGAGTCCAGAAAATCTCTGTGACCAACTGGTATTTGAACTGGAAAAATCATTTTTCTAAAAGACACCTGATCTCTTTGCTGTGTCATCTCCTGGTCCCTAGAGATAATACCCTTCCACAGAGAGCAAACTGGGCCAAAGTCCCCAGGACGTCAATTCTCTGTGTGGAGTTTCCAAGGCAGTGTCCTTCCGTTTCCGGCTGCTCTATTGCCCCTTCCAAGAGATTGGGGACACCCCACAGGGTCTACCCCACAAAGGCTCTTGAGATTGCCCACCTGCTTTCACAAGCCAGGGATCAGAGAGCCTGTAACATCTGCACAGGAATAACCCTTCCAGGGGCAGCTCATTGTCCACGTTATCTCTAGACATCCACCACAGCATGGCTGGCTGCTCCTCTCTGCCAGGGAGAGCAACCAATAGGCCTAGAGGAAGGGCAGTACAGACTGTCAGCCCAGAACAGATTTCCACAACACCTTTGGTTGGTCCTTCCAACAGAGGGCCATGACAAACCCCAGGGCAGGCAGGCTCTGAGGGGCTTTGGGGAAAACTGGGTGATGTTGGCTCCCTCTAGTGGCGTGTTGTGGGAAATTAAAAGTGGCTCTGTCCAGTGAAGAAGGTGCAAAGGGATCTATCTGCTGGACATTATAGAACTGAGGAGTGTGTCGCAAAGATTGTCACACAGTCACCTCAAGTAACACGTTCAGTTTGTAAAGGAGGCTGTTTGGCTTTCTCCATCACATCGAGCACAGAAGGCCTGGCTACAGAGTCACTCCTGCTCTCTGACTATGGGCCCATGACAACAGCAGGTCAGCCGCCGGAGCACAAGCCGTGCTGATCCTCTGCCCAGGCAGCCTCCTCCAGCCACTGTCACACTGGGAACAAACCACCTGCACCTCTCTGTGGATTTCTTCCCTCCATTAGTTAGGGAGTGTGGTGTACAGGTCAACCAGCTGACCCCCAGCTCTGAAATGCTGTAAAACACCATGACTCCATAGCCATGACTCTAAAATGAGCTCCGACTATTGCTCATCTAAGAGGAAGCTGAAGCATTGTTCACAGCCTCCTACGTTTGCCTGGAGTCTGTCAGCGAGCACCTTCACAAACATTACAGAACTTTGCTCTCACAGCCGCCGCTGTCTGACACACCTTATCCTGAGCCCTCCCACTCTGCCCCGGCAACCAGGTAGGTTTTGTATTCTGAGATGGAGCTAAAGAGAGAAAGATCCTCTTGTGTGGTCCACAGAGACCAAGGCTCCAACGCAGTGTTCAATGGGGTTCTTAGCTTGGCCTGGAAGCCCTGTGAAAATGAAGCAGAGGAACCCACCCTTCCTGGGCAGGAGGAAAAAGTCTCTGTGACCCAGCCCATAATAGTAATGATAATAATAATGATGGTGAATGCTTACACTGGCTTACTGCCAGCCAGTCAGCACTCTACTTATATCAACTCTATGTCATAGGTAATCCATAAGCCCACCGTTCTTGCCCGGATACCAGTATCCTTGTAACAGAAACCAAAGTCACCCGGATATTCTAACTTCCTACCACAGAATGTCCAAACATCAAAGAATTAAAGGAAAGGGCTTTCATTATCTGTCATGGACCTGGAAATTGGCTGGCCTTAGGTTGTTCAGGTGCAGTTTTAAACCTCAGAACTACAAAGCGGAGTTCCCACCAAGCGGGAAGCAACACAGGAGACCACCTGGTCCAACTCCCCACTCCCCAGATAGACAGGAAGAGTCTTGAGGTGTATCATGCAGTGAGTTAGTAACAGAACCAGATCTAGCTCCCAGGGCTACAGATTCTTGGCCCAGAGTTCTTCACCCTCTACCATGCTGTGACTGTCCAGCACCTGAGCTGACGGATCGTACTAGAGTCTCCCCCTTGAGGGCTGCATGCACTCCCTGGTTATCAGCCAGCCCACATGAGCTCAAGAAGCAGAATCCTGCTAATGTCGACCAAAGGCATCTAAACTTCTGTCTGGTAAATCGGTTGTCTGCCACCTTGCCCTATAAACAAAGATAGTAATTACTCCTGAAATAATAGACCCAGAGAGCTGGGACAGTCTGGGGCAGCCTGTGACAGCACTCCTGTCCACCGCGTGAGGAGGAACCTTCCTCCTTTATCCATCCACCCATCCGCTCTAGACCAGACCTCCTTGGTCCGCACCAGAAGCTTTCTTCAGAATTCTCTTCTTTTCTCCAAAGTGACTTTCAGTTCTTTTGCTGGTGCCCACCATGAACCCCACCTTTTCCTCACCCATCATCTCTGCCCTGGACATTTTGACCTCCCACTTTCCGTTTTGGTATGGCTTCCTCCAGAGGTGACAATACTCTGCCACTTTGTCACTTCCCAGCCAGAGTCGAGTCCCTGACATTTCCAGGAGTGGTCCTGGTGGAAAGAGAGCCTAACCAGATGGTTTCTCTTTGTTACTCCAGTGGGCCTAGACTCGGGTGGCAGTTCCCTGGTCCCAGGGTACCCTAAGGTTCGCTGGCCACTTTGTTTATGGGCGTTCTGTCACTTGGCTGGGAAGCAGACTCGCTCTGCTCTCGTCTGAGTGGAGAGGGAGAGGAACGTGAGGAGGGTAGTGAAGACGATCCGGGGGTGGGCGCGTGGAGGAGGAGAGTGAGAGACCAGAATGAATCACGGAAACTCAGAAGCATCCTGTCCTAGACACGGGGTCAGGAAGACAGATGGGGCAGGGGCGACAACAGCTGCCCCTTCCCACTGACGGCTCTTCCTGGAGAAAAAGAGGTGGGGCTGGGAGACAGTCAAACTTCCCTGTACCTGGAGGAGTCTGCAGGGTGCAGAGCCTGCTCTGCCTCTGGGTCCTGGGGCAGCCCAGCCTCTGGGAGGGGCTCAGCGGACTCCAGCAGCCCTGGGGAGGGGATCCAGCCTCCAGCCCCATCGCTGACTTAGCTGCCTTTCCTTTCTTCCATGCATCACTCAAATCTATGACCTCAGAGTCGTCCTTGCTTTCATTCTTTCTCTCACACCCCACAGCAGTTCTTCCTGATGACACGCCCACCAAAAGCTTCAGAATCGGTCCACATCTCACCATCTCCCCTGTAACATCCTGGTCCAAACCACCATCAGACCCCTGCTAGGTTATTTGACTAGTCTCCTAACCAGTAATTCCATTAACATTTAAGTCCAATCATATCACTTTTCTGCCCAAAACTCTGCAGGAATGGCTTCCCAGCCAGCTCGGTGCACAAGCAATATCCCATAAGGCCCCGGTGGCCTGCCTCCCTCTCCATCCCCAGCTCTCTCTAGCCTCATCTCCTGCTGCTCCTCTGGCTGCTCACTGTCCTCCGGCCATATGGCCTCCCTCACTGCTTCTAGAACATTCCAGCAATGCTCAGACATCAGGGCCGAGCACAGGCTACTCACTCGGTGGAATGTTCCCACAGGGATCTACAGCTCACCCTTTGACCTCCTTCAGTTCTTTACTCAAATACTACCTTCTAGGTGAGGATTTCTCTAAATCCCCTATTTTAACCTCCTCTCCACACTCCCCACACATTTCTTGATTTTCCTCTATTGCAGATCAATTCACATAGCACACAATAAAGTTTAGCTGCTTACTGCATCAATTGCCTGTCTCTCCCCACCAGAACCTAGCCTCCTTGTTCCTGGTATTTATTTCGTGAATCTCTGGTACCCAGAAAAATGCCCAGCACATAGTCAGTACTCAATAAACACTTATTGAATGAACCAACAAACAAATGTCAGACACATTTTGGGAAGCAGGCCTTCACAGAGTAGGAAAGGAAGCCTGGTGAAATGGTGTGTGTGTGTGTGTGTGTGTGTGTGTGTGTGTGTGTGTGTGTGAGAGTGAGAGAGAGAGAGAGAGAGAGAGAGAGAGAGAGAGAAAGTGTGTGTGTGTGAATGTGCATTTCAGGGACGTTTGACAACCACCTTCACTTGGATTCAACAATTTGTGAGCACTTGATTATTTGTATACATGTTTTAAACTTATCTATTAACCAGAGTCAATCCTTCATTTGTTCTCTTGCTCAAGAATTCACCAGACACTTATGAGGGAAGTTGGGTATCAGGTGCTCTGCTAGACGTGTGGAAAACACGTGATGAAGACACAGTCCCTGCGATATGAAAATGAGGGCCCAGCACTTGGAACAGAACTGAGAGGGCCTCAGCCTTGACTCAAACGGAACCCAGCGACATCTAATTGAAAACTCAACCCAGTGCAAGAAATTCATCCTAATGTGTTTTGCCACCAATGGGAAAAGACATTTGGATGAGTGGCTACAAATGGGAATGTCCCCAGAGATCCCGGAAGAGTGGAGGACCGGTTGTCAAGGGCCTTCCTAGAAGCAAGACTGCACTCCTTCCAGTGAGGACAATCAAGGGTGAGCAACTGTCAACGACGAGAGGGAGCAACGTGGGTGACTAGAAAGGCTGCCCCCTCTGAACACAGGAGACCCTGCGCACAGTGTCCCCCCAGCTCTGAGAGGGCACGTGAGAGACAACTCTGACCTTGGTATTTGTCTAATCCTGTAGAGGTAAGGGGCAGATCACTCCTGACATGGCTGATCTATCTTGCCTTCTTGAAAAATGTCCCCTCTCTCTAGTGACCTGCAGAAGGGGATCCAGCCCTTTCTCTGCAGGTGCCCAGCACATGCTCACATGTTCTGACGACAGCTGGGAAGCTGGTCAGGGGACCTGGCATCTGGGCTATCTGCCTGCTTTTGTCGAAATCCCTTGACGTGTCAGCTGGACTCGGCAGTCGATGTTTTCACGCAGCGTAACACACAGCCTCGGGAGACTCTGCCGTTTATTTATTTGTTACTTTTCCACAGCCACCTGCTCCTGGGTGGGTCTGCGGCTCTGCCATGCACTTTCTGGAATCTCCAGTCCTCCTCATACCTTGTCTCTTTGGACCACACCACCAGCTTTCACCCTCCTCCTCACAGCCTCACCCCAACCTTCTGGGCCCCATCTTTGACTCCAGGGGGTCCCATCTCAAGGTTTTCTGTCCTGGTTGCTGCTTGTGCAAGGCCTCCAGAGGGCCCTCAGGCAGGGTCATCCAAGGAAGGGTCTCGTCTTCCAGGGAAGCTGAGGGTTCAGGTCTTCTCTGACCAGCCACTACCACAAATGTATGCATCAGTCTCCTTTCCAGGACCACCGTACCCACAGTTTCCCTGCCAGGAAGGAAGGAGAACAAAAGGAGGTGCAGTTAGTGACATGATGGAGGGACACATGAGGACGCCACCAGGAAACATGAGGATTCAGCTTCTTTCCTGGCTCGTCGGTAGTGGCACTGTGTCCCCCCCCCCCGCCTCCCATCAGAACCTTATTCCTGGGCTCCCCAGTTTGCTCAGACCATCCTCCCACCACCTACTCGGACCCAACAACTCACCAGCAGCTACTGGACATGCGGCCTGAAGCCATTTCTGCATGACTTGCCTTTCTACACTGCTGTCCTTAATTCTCTACCTTGAATAGTCCCTTAATCCCCCGAGAATCAAGTCCAAGCAATCTGCTTGCCTTCCAGACTGCCAAAGTGCTGCCTTCCATAATCCACCCAGCTGGTCTCCCTCTAACACTTCTGGTCATCTACTTACACCTCAGGGGGACATCTCTGATCCTCAACAGGCATTCAAGTAAGGAATCACCCTCCTTCCCTGGAAGAGTCCTGGCCACGGCCTGACTCCCCCCTTATCCCACTCCCCAGAGTGCTCCTGTTTCCCACGCCTACCTTCCTCAGTCCTCCCCTCCAGACCCAGTGAAACCCCACCACCCGCATGAGCCTCTCCCGCCATCCCCAGGATGAGTGATCTCTCCCTCTTCTCTGATTTCCTGCCGCTCTACTGTGTGTTCATTCTCATGACACAGTGTGGTTGGTTTCTATTGGAAAGTGAGTGAAAGATTCAGCTCAAAGTGTCTGGTGCCTGCCTCTCCCAGGCCCTGGGTACGGAACTCCTCATTTGTCAACCCCGAGGAGATGCGTGTGTCTCTGTCACTAGCACAGAGCACTTCAAGAGCAGGCCCGTGGTTGTCTAAACACAAACCAACCAACATCACCTGCAGCTCTGTTTCTGCCTGTGTGAAAACGGGCAGGACAATGACGTGGTTGTTCCAAGTGTGTAGAGCTAGCCCCAGATCCAGGTGTTTGTGAAACTGCTTTGGGAAAAGTGAAGAATCACAAGAACTCCAGGTGATGTTATTATCATGCCTATGCCCGCGTGGACTCCTGCAGGATGAAGATATCTAATACTTGTAATTTCAATTAATTGGGAGCCTGCCCAGGGGTCCCACATCTGGAGAGACCTCACTGAAGCATGAACTGAAGGCAAGAGCAGACGGCCTGCGTGGTCTAAGAGTCGCTGACCTTCTAGCCATGAAAGGACAAGTGCTTTCAATTGGCCTCACTAGTAGGCAGCAGCTCCTACACAGGGGTTACAAACAAACAGGAGCCAGGCACAGTGGTAAAAGCCTGTAATCCTAGAGGCTCTGGAGGCTTGGGAGGCTGAGGCAGCCTCAGCAACAGCAAGGCACTAAGCAACTCAGCGAGACCCTGTCTCTAAATAAAATACAAAATAGGGCTGGGGATGTGGCTCAGTGGTCGAGTGAGTTCAATCTCCAGTACCAATAAAACAGAAAAGAAAGAAAAAAAAAGATGGATGGGGGAGGGGTCCTTCCTAAAGCCCCACAAAAAATAACAGTAACAAAATAATTTTCAAAGAGGAAGGTAGAGGTGAAGTAATAAAGAAAATAAAAATCAGGAGAGTAGATGATGGAAGGAACAGCATTGAACTTGGAAGGCCAAGATTTAGGCCATGCCATTGAAATAGAAGTTGATTAACTCCAGGGAACCCACAGATGCTCAGAGTTGGAGATAACCCAGTACAACAGAAGCAGGGTCAAAAAATGATCACAGTGAGACACACCCTTCCAGCTCTCCTCCACCATCTCAGAAAGCCACGCTGCTACGCATTCACTAACCTACCAAAAGATGAGACGTTTATTGCAGAGAAACTGGATCAGAAGGGCTGGAGTTGGGAACAGCTGTCACTGTGTAAGACAGGCTGGGGTGGTGCACTGAAAATAGGGGGCTTAAGGTTGTGATGTGAGAGACCACGTGCTCAGTGGCGAGACAGTCTGCCACCTTCCTTGCTCTGCTCCCAGAACAGTATCAGGCAGACAGTATCTTTCCTGGAGGAAACAGAGTTCCAAAAGAGAAGGACCTACAGCCATTGGTTCCCAGAAGTCCCCAGTAAGACGTCCTGATGCAGCTTCATCACCTTGCGGTGAGCTCACCACTCAACCAGCCCAGACTCAGAGCCGCCAACCAGCTTATTATTAGCACTCCACTCTTGAAAATAAACAGGTATCCTCGTAGGACAAACATCCAAGGAAAGCTTCCAACAGTTCAAAACAAGAGAAAAGTGGGGGAAACAGAAAATCCCAGAAGCAGAAAAATACTTGGAAAATACTCTAAATCCCCTGATAAATGAGAGAACATTTTACATATGAAACAAGAATAGACTGTCTTGAAAAAATGAACCGCCCAAGAAGAAAAGATATTCTTAAAAATCGTAAAAAATACGTTAACCAAAATTTAAATGCCAATTGAAGATCTAGAAGACAATGTGGAGGAAGACTTCCAGAAATCAAGACAAAACTATCATGGAAAAGAGAAAAGATAAAGAAACTTGAGAACCAGCCCAGGAGATCCAAAGTCCAATTAATAGAGTTCTAGAAAAAGAAAATGGGCAAAAAGAATGGGGGGAAAAATAATGAAATAATTAAAGAAAAATGTTCAACAGTTGAAAAACATGCATTTCAGACCAAGAGTGCTGACTGAACAACCATTAAAGGGGATAAAACTAGTCCTACAAAGTCCAGGACCATGAAATCTAGAAATTAGGATGGCATCAGATTTTACCAAAAGCATCACAAGGAGTTAGAAGATAATGGAGGTGATTGTCAACCTAAAATACTATTCTCATCCAAGCAAGTGGTTTCCTAGTCCAGAGGTGAAGGAAAGCATTGGATAAAGTCAAGTTGAAGGTGAAAGTTAGCCTGGTATGTCCACATGAACTAGGAGGAGATTTACATTGCTCAGGAGACATTTACTGAACCCCCACCCTCCTTTTGGGCATCAAACAATGACAAGTATATAAAAAAATTAAGCAATAAAAAGAAGATATTTAGCGATTCCATAGGAAAATAAAGTCATGTGAGCAATGAAAAATAATTATAGCACAGAACACTAGGTGGCTCGATGGGGAATAATATTTACACAGTCATAATAAAGTAGAACCGAATAGTGAGCTAATAAATATCATGACATTTATACTATAGTGGGTTGAGAAGGTCTATATAGTGGGGTGTTTGTGTATATCATGGAGAGTAATGGTGGGTGGTGTTAAAAAAGCTAAAAGCTTTCCTAGTAGGAAGTCGATTTTTTAAGACTCGAAAAATAAAAATTAAAAAGCAATGGAAGTGTATTATTAGGAAGCACAGTCACAAGTCTAGATGAAACGGCTACAGAGCTGAAGGAGATTTCTATTTGGGAACCCAAGAGGGCAAGTTCACGGTTGGCTGGTGGCCTTATTGAATACGTCATCTTTTAAGCTTAGACTAATATTTCAATTTAGAGGAATATCACATGAAAAATTCCCCAAACCAAAAGATACACGTTTCCAGAATGAAAAGCCAAGCTTCTAAAGTTGCCATATTTTAGCACAAGGAAGGACACTCAGTTAAATTTGCATTTTGGATAAGCAGAGAAAAGTGTTTAGTATAAGTATGTCCCAAATATTACAAACTTTATTTACAGTTTATCTGAAATTCAAATTTCATAGGCATCTTCTATCTTGTCCAGCAAGCCTATACCCAACACATCCACACGAAAGCGCAGAGCCATGATTGCAAAGTACCAAGAAAAAGAGAACACATTAACCCTCGAGGGGGAGGGGGGTCACCTAAAAAGAAATCAGAAAAGCACTGACATCTCACGGCAAGACCGGAAGTTAGGAAGGAGAGGAGGAAGGCCTCCAGAATTCCAAGGCAAAATGATATCCATCCTGGAATATTCTATCCCTCCAACCATCAATGAAATTTCAGAGTTGAACAGAGGCATTGTGAGGGAAAGGTTAAAAACCCTAGTTTCTACTTACCTTTTCTTAGAAGCTGACTGGAGGATTTCCCTTCCCTAAAAGGAAATCAATCAAGAAAGAAGGAAACAGAGTCCAGGAAAACAGAAAGGCAACATAGAGGAGAAGGAAAACAAATTCCCACAATACTGGCTGTGCTGGGGCAGAGAGAAAGCAGGCAAGATGGACAGGGAGAATGGAAGGTTCCAGAATGAAAGATTTTAGGGGGAAATAAAAGAACCCACAGTGTGATGACATTCAGTGTGATACGTCACAAAAAAAAAAATGGTGTCTAGAGGGATTTTCCAACTCAGTCGGAGAGTTCGGGACAAATTATAAATAGGAACACAGAAAATTAATCAGGTGAAGAAAATGAGGCTATTATTAACAAAATGTTTACAAGAGATTAAATGAACATTATCATAATGCACTGCTTGGCAATGCAGAAAATAATACTTGATAATGATAATGACATAAACACTGAACACTGACTTAAACAAAATATTATGTGGGAGGCAGAGAAAGCAGTAGAAGACATATGGCTTCATGGACAAACACAAGAGGTCATGTTCTACCTCTCACAGTCAAGGTGTTAAGAGTAGCCCTAAATGATCTATCAGTCCACCTTACCACTCTAACCTTAACCCTTAGTGCTCTCCCACGACTGACTTTGCTCCTGCGATGAGGACCATAGGATGTTCTCTTCCTCAATTATATCACATCTTCCCACCTCAGGGCCTTTGCACATGCTGTTCCCTTTGCTTAGAGTGCTCTTCCCCATGTATCCATGGGGCTCCCTCCTCCTGTATTGCAGGTCTTTTCTCAGATTTTTTTTTCTCAGTGGCATCTCCCACTCTCCCACTTCCTTATTAAGGTTGCATTTTCTCCCTGATATTCCCTATGCCACCCTCACCACTGTTTATTTATCATCCATAAACTTCTGTAAATCGGTTACTACTTCTATAGAAAGAGGTGGTTAGAGTAATGGTTGATTTAAACATTTAAAAAATTTAAATCCACAACTTGTCCACCGAGACATC